TCTGATATTACTGCTTCCTGTCAAAATTCTGAAGAGGTTGGTGCCATATACAATGTCTTTCAACTTCCTGGTTGATTTGGATGGTTCCTGTTATATTCTTCGTGATCTTTAACATTATTCTGCAATGAAAGCTTGTGTGTAATTATGTTCTGGATCTGAGGATTGCTACTGCATTTTAAATCATGTCATGGTACCAACTGCTGAGTAGTGTGGAAAAACTTGTTCCGCCTATCTAGTTTGGTGATGAACATTAGCATTTAACTAATACTGTATTTTCCTTAGTCAACAATGATGTAACGACTAGTGCACATCTGGAATAGATTGGTGAACCGTATCCAAAAGTAGTTTAATGTAGGGGTATGCTATAATATATATGTATAATGTTCATCCATATGACAAACTCTTGAAAGCTAATGTTCAAGGACCTTGAAAGTCATTTTCATTGATTTCTAATTGTTAGAGTAAAACACCTTTGTTCCCTGAATTTTGGGGTTTAGGTGACTATAGTTCCTGGAGTTCAAAACGTTTTTAGAACTGGCTAACTGACACGGTTACTATGAGGACCAGACGTTTTGAAGTTCAGGGCCCAAAGTGCCACAGTAGTCAAAGTTCTGGGTGCAGATTTGATATCTACTCTAAATGTTCTTTTAACTTCACCATTTTTCTCATAGATTGTTTCTAAGTATTCTGGCTGTTGTATGGTGCAGGCTAGGGAGGTATATGCACAAGCTCTGTATGATATTGTTACTGAACAGTACAATGTGCTCAAATCTGCTGTACATTATGAACAAGGACTAAACGCATCCACTCCAAATGTTTCTTTGTCGCAACCATGGAGTTAGTCCGTCTTTAAGCAGATTGCCTTCCTACTTTGCTTTCATAATCAGGTATCTATTATGATTTTCTGTAGTTACCGGTTGTGTGACTACTTAAACGCGTCTAAAAAGCTTTTCATTCTTAATGTGTAAATTAATTGAATACAGTGAAATAACATTGTGGCTGGTTTTTAAATGAAAAGAAAGGTTGACTGGCAGACGTGTTTTACAGGGTTCATCTTGTGCGTGAACATCCGAATAAAGAATCTAGAAAACGATAGAAGTGTTTTTGTTACCGTCTGAAAATGATATTTGCGCTCTTGGCACTGGCTATTGAATATATTCCTATGCACATTGATGATCGTTCTCTTTTGGTAACTAGATTTGATTGAATCGCGCAGGTTAGGACTTTACCTTAATTTTGCAACTCCTGACCGAAAGTTGACTGGAACTTCAACACAAGTATGCACTGTGCCAAGAAGATCTAATTGAAGCTGATGATCAATGTAAGCTCACCACCATCTGGAATTGATGGATTCTTTTTGTGCATATGGTTTTTCGGCAAGAGCTGAATTCTTCTGGAAACGAAGCTGTCTCGCAAGGGTCAGTTTTAGGTGTATACTGTACAGATGAAGCCGGTTGTTGACTAGCCATGTAAATCGAATCTCAATTCGTTTCTAGTAATAGATGTTAAAATCAATTTTTTTTTCTCTTAACACCTGAGAAGTCTTAAATTTTACTAGAGAAACCTATGTAGCCGAGATGACTACCATAGAAGCAATCTGGGTTCCTACCGCAGAATGAAACAATCAATTTTTTCATTAGGAAATCCTCGACGCATGAAACTTTGTAACAGCATCCTAGATTCCTGAGTGAGCCCTCAACCATTGAATCATCAGGTTCTGTTTTATGGCAACTAGGGTTGCCCCTCTCCTAGCAGCCAAAGTATGAATCCTAAAATACCACTTTGCTCGCTTTTTGTTAAGTCTTCCATTAGATTCAAGTATTTTATGTCTAGAGGCTCTTTCCAATAGGGGTGGGCACGGTTTGGTTCGGTGCTCTTTGGAGTGAAACCGAAACCAAAATTTTTTGCGGTTTGGTTCAGTGAGGTTTTGAAGCCAAAACCAAAATGAAATCAAACCATTCGGTTCGGTTTGGTATGGTTTCGGTTCAGTTTTTAAGAAAGAAATGTACATTTTAAAATATACATCTATCTATGCATAAAACAGTCTTATTTACTACACAATACATTAATTAATGAACGCATGTTAACAATGAGTACATTGAGTGAGGATATTTTGATAATCTATTTCCATCTAAAATTAGGACAATATATGCACAAACAAACCTGTAGCAACTACATATGTAGCAAGCAAACATGTAGCAAATGATGAATGATGATATTCTAGAGTGGTTGAGTAGATACTAAATGTTTATTAGTATTTGTTGTGTGGTTCGGTTTCGGTGGGTTTTTCAAAAGCCAAAATCGAAACCAAACCGTTCCCTACAATGCGGTTTGGTTTCAAAGCTGCAAAACTAAACCGTTCAGTGCGGTTCGATTTGGTTTGTGTTTCGGTTTCGGTTTTCGGTTCCAAGTGCCGACCCCTACTTTCCAAGTCTTCCTAGGTCTTTCTCTATCCCTTTTGCCCTGAGTCTGTTTCATAATCACATCTTCTCAAGAGGGAGTAAATGCGAAGCTTAACCTTTGGGGGAAGTGTTGGAATCTAAAGGACTTCGCCTAAGTAGGTCAAAGACAGAGTAGTTGGAGTGCAAGTTCAGTGGGAACATAGTATAAATGAGATAGGGTGAGGATTGGAGATCAAGAAGTACCAAAGAGCGAATGTTTTTGCTATCTTGGATCTATATTGCAAAAGAATGGGGAATTGGATGGAGACCTCAGTCATATAATACAAGCTGGATGGATGAAGTGAAAGAGTGCATCAGGTGTGTTGTGCGACTGTCGTATGCCAAAGCTCAAGGAAATTTTTTATAGAATGACAATAAGGCTAGCAATGCTTTATGGCATGGAATGTTGGGCTATGAAGCATTAACACGTACACAAAATGAGTGTAGCAAAGATGAGAATGCTTCGTTAGATGTGTAGGTACACGAGGAAGGACAAGATTCAGAATGAGGATATCCGAGGTAAGTTAGGAGTAGTCGAAATTGAATATAAGATGAGAGAGAATCGGTTAAGATGGTTTGGCTATGTGAAACAAAGACCTACAGATGCTCTGGCTAAAAGATTTGATTATGAGACAAAGGCTCAGGGCCAAAAGGGTATGGGAAGACTTGGAAAGAGACTCTAAGAAAACACTTGGACTGCTTGGATCTAACAAAAGACATGACACAAAACTGAGCGCAATGGCCTTCTAAGATTCATATAGTCGACCCCATTTGGTGGGATAATGCTTTGTTGTTATTGTTGTTCCTTTCAATTGCAGCCACTCGTACTTTACCTTAAATATCCTCGTTCTTAATCATGTCCTTTCTCGTGTTCCCACACGTCCAACGAAGCATTCTCATCTTCACTACAATCATTTTTTGCATGTGTTTTTTATGCTTCATCGTCCAATATTATGTGCCATAAAGCATTAATGGTCTTGTTGTTGTCTTATAAAATTTTCTCTTGAGCTTTTGTAACATACGTCGATTGCATAGCACATCTTATGCACTCTTCCACTTCATCCATCTAGCTTGTATCCTATGGTTGAGATCTCCATCTAATTCTCCGTTCTTTTGCAATATAAATCCAAGATAATGAAAGAGCTCACTCTTTGGTATTTCCTGTTCTCCAATCCTCACACCTATCTCATTTGGATCTCCTTTTGAATTGCACTCAATATACTTTATCTTTGACCTATTTAAGTGAAGACCTTTAGATTCCAGTACATCCCACCAAAGGTTAAATGCATTTACTTCTTTTGTGTTTCATCTATTAACATTATATCATCTGCGAAAAGTATACACGGATATCATCTTGAATATAAGCCAATAACTCATCCATTACCAATGAGAGAAGGGAATGCCTTAAAACTAAGTCTTGGTGTAACCATATGGGGATGGAAAGCTTTCAATTTATCCTTAATGAGTTCTTACTGCAGTTCTTGTTCCATCATACATGTCCTTTATTATTTGGATATATGTTGCTTGTACTCATTTCTTCTCTAAAATCTTATGAAGAATTTCTCTTAGAACCCCATCATACATTTTTTTGAAATCTTTAAAGATCATATGCAAATCCTTTGGCATGTCTCTATATCGTTCCCTTGATCTCAATAAGAGATAGATTGCCTTGATAGTTGAGCGCCATAGCAGAATTCGAATTGATTGTCTGAGACCCGTATCTCTTGCCTCAGTTTATGCTTAGTTACTCTCTCTCAAAGGTTCATTGTATTGACTCATTAACTTAATACCCATATAGTTCTTGGAATTTTGTATATCGCCCTTATTCTTGTAGATAGGCACCAAAGTGCTATTTTGCCACTCATTTGGCATCTTCTTGGTTTTCAAAATCTTATTGAAAAGGTTTGTGAGCCAAGTTAAGCAGTCTTTCCCAAGCCCTTCCACACTTCGATCAATATATTGTCGGGACCCACTGCTTTTCTTTGCTTCATCTTTTTTAAAGCTACAACCACTTCCTCTTTCCTAATTTGGCGGTAGGAGTAATTTCTACACGGGTAATGCTAGGGAGACTAAATTTTGTAAACTAAATGGAAGTTGATAATTAGATATTGTTTAAGTTTGGTTAATGTGTTTTTGCCTTATTAGTGACACATCAATTATTTGCAAATTTAGTCAACCTAGTATTACTCTTTTTACACTCTTTCAAGTTACTCAACTCACCCAAAGAAGTATTATTTTGTGTCCTTCATTGAAAAGATTATGAAAATAAGCTCGTCACGTTCTCCATATCTATAACATTTCCATTCTCATGCTTGATGCACCTTACTTGGTTCAAGTCTCTCTACCTTCCTTTTCCTAGCTCCAGCAAATTTATAGATATCCATCTCCCTCCTTGCTATATGATGGAATGACCAAACAAAAACAAAACAAGAGTAAACTTGATATAGCTCCAATTTTGTAGGTGATTATTGCGTGTAAATGGGTACTGCATGGCCTTACACGTGTACATGGATATTGCTTGTGATGGACCTAACATGATTAACATAGTGGAGACAAAGCTTCAAAACTTTCATCTAGACATTCATGTTTTATCATTCGTTTGCGCGTATCCCCCTATACGACTTACAAGATTTGGATTACCATTACACTTAAAAAAAATGTCATTGTAAGTGTAGCCATATATTTGACAAGCCAATGACTCCCATGAGCATGTAGCATCTGTAACCGACAAAATTGACCATCATATAAAATAAAAAAGGGCAATCCGAAAACCTCTTATTTGACAAAATACATCACACTTTGTATCAATCACTCTCTTCAGAGCGCCGCCGGAGGAATCTCTCCCTACTTCAATGTTGAAAATACATGGTTCTTTACTGCATTCTGATGAAAACTTGCTACATCGAAGCACTCACATAAAATCATAGTCATCAAGCGGACCATAGCCATCAACAGCTATATCATCATTCGGCTTATCAACAAGTAGCTGCTTTTTCTTGGAGCCTGAAAACAAGGAAAGCAATTAACAAACACCAAGGAAAGCTACACCATCAACATACGTTCATACACCTCTCTATCTGAACCCTCTGATGTGGGACAATTTTCACACATAAAAGGATGGATTACCACTAGGTAAAGATAAGGGGCATAATTAGATTGCTCCACATAACTATCGAAATAGCACTAACAATATTCCTCAATTCTTTTCTTTTCTTTTTTCAGTTGGATTGATTTTTTATTAAAGGATACCTTTGAATGGGAAACGATAGGAATTGGTTGGTATCAGACTCTAAAATCTAAAGTGGATGGCATTGCCATACCTTCAACTCTGATTACATAAAACCTCAGCTATTTTAATTATTGGTGACACCTGCACCTAAAAAGGAAAGCACAGTGGCTGCTTTGACCAACACTCTAAACGAGTTTACTGAATCAAATGTGCAAGGCATTTTTTAACACGTTAGTTTCACTTATTGGTGACACCTACACCTAAACCAGAAAACACAGGCTGTTTTGACCAATACCCTAAACAAGTTTACTGAATCAGACATGCAAGGCATTTTTAACACATTAGTTTCAGTTATCTGTGACACCTACACCTAAACCGGAAACCACAGGGGCAGCTTTGACCAATACCATAAACAAGTTTTCTGAATCAAACGTGCAATGCATTTTTTAACACTTAAGTTTCCGAGTTCCACAATACTAAGAGCTTCTGGCTGACACTTCTCAAAACAAATATCAATATAATTCTTTTTTCTTTGCCTTTCTTCACATATAGGACACTATTTTGGTTTTCAAGAGAATGAGAAATCATAAATAAAACTCAAAATGAAGCATGAGGCATTCTATTCTTATCAAAGAATGAAATGGGCTTAAGAGACGCACCTGTCTTCTTTTTACCAGCATTTGCTTCCTTCTCTGCTTTTATTTTCTCATTTGCAATTGCTGTAATCGAAGATGAAACTTCTTTTGCATCTGCTCCTTTCAATGAAGTCATTGACAGTCTCATTACTGCCTTGAGTAGACCAATATAATGGAAACTTTTCTGCAATTAAATTTCAAAAAATTATGTATCTGAAATTCTCGAAGCTTTGTTAAACGGATATGACAAATTAACACACCTCAAATGGACGAAGTTTATGTGAAATTAGTTCTGCATATTCCAGGAAGTCACTTTCAGATTTAGGAATGAAATTGTCTAGGGTTTTATAATTGCCTCCGCTGGAAAACAATTCTTTAGTGGACTTATAATCTGCTTCTTCCACCAGCCTGTGGCGTAGAGAAAAGCTTCAGTAAGAACCACTAATGACCAAAAGCTAACCAAATGTTTCGTACTATATATCTTTTTTGTAATATACTTACAGTTTAGTGCAGTCAATATGTAATTGTTAGTCAAATGTAACAAACCATGTTCTCATGGAGAAATAATTAACTCTGAATCAACTGGGTCTATCATCCAGAGGATAGGCATAGACAAAAATGAAGAAAAAAAACCTAATGAAGGCCAGTCCCCGCATATCACAATTCTAAAACTTCATCGAACACAGACATCAAGTGCAGCCCAGGTGCACCATTAACAGATAATATAGTGCATGGCAGACACAATGATAAACAACATTATAAACATCAGAAGTACTCAAAACAATGGTTTTACTCACATAGGCGCTATTCATATCAAGATATTAAAAGAATTCAAAACAAAAACCAAAGAAACAGAATTGCGGGGCTTAATTACATTAGAATGCATGACAACTCACCACATTTGAACCATTGGTAGCACCAATAAAACAATATAAAAAAAACCCTAAAGTTGTGTTGAGTGGGCTAATGAGGGTCATTCATCAAACACTTACAACAAAACACGAACTGTTTGCTATAAACCAAAGTCGAATACATTCTGTTTGAGAAATATTTATCAACCCATGACTATTTAATTTTACTTCCAAATCTCAGTGAAAAACTCGAAGCATTGAGTGATTACATATTACATAGCCACTACCTCCACCAAGCGGTCCCAACAAGTACAATTTAGGAAAAATAGTACTAAAAAAAACCTAGAACAAGGGTGTCGATTGACTGACACAATGAACTATATAGTGAAGATGAAATATTCACAACCTAGTTGAGTTCGAATTGGATCTTTCTATTGATGATTCATTTTGACTTATCTTTAATAATTTTACAAATTTCTGTAAATTTTTTGTTATTAAAAAGAGTGATCCTTTTTAAATATGAATTTTAAGTAACAGTAACACGTTTGTTTTGTTGACATAAAATTTGGTCCAGCTTCTTAATAGGAGGCAGCACCAAACGCCTGACTAAATTCTGTATAATAGTCAGTACCGTAAGACACAGATTAGTAATATCCAACCTAAATTAGTCAGTACCACATACTAAACAAGGCCTAAATGTTAACTCTCACCTTTGTTGGCGAAGTTTCTCAGACACAGGATCCAGTGGCTCTTCCTTTTCTACTTGAACGGTTTTCCCTTTCTTTTCTGTAGCTTTTTCAGCAGGTTTTGTTGCAGGTTTCTTAGGTGCCTTCTCAGAAACAGGCTTTGTTGCAGGTTCCTGCCCACCATAAAAAATAACTTATTATAAAGACTAATCATAATCATAAAATAAATACAGATTTTTTTCAGTAGAATAAGTGTAAAAACAAAACAGCCATCTATATGATGCATGCGCTTTGTGGACAAAGCCTCTAAGGTTAATGACTGCAAAACGGCTTGCTGTGGTTTGTGGACAAATTGAATATATGCACACAACAACAACCAAGGCCAACCCGATGGAAACCAAACCAAACCAATTGTAATGGATCCAGTGCGGTTTGATTCTGTTACAGCAGTTGTTTCTGAACCAACCGGTTCAGCTTCATCCCCCCCCCCGCGGCTCTCCCAAAAAAAAACCCAAAAGGGGACACGCATAAACGAAAACCCTTTGTATCATCTTGACCAGTCATAAATTTCTTTTGCCATTTGTATATAATTCATTGGAATACCAATCAGAGATTTAAACCTGACCATCTAACATGATGATCCAGAACCTATTCATCCAAAAGACCATCACTTGGTATAATATTGTCATATCAAACCATTTGATATGTCCTAAGTTAGTAAATCTCACTTTCAATAGTAAAGGAGAATGAATCCAATCACTGAAAGGAACCAACATTGTTGCAAAAATGAGGCCAGACTTCACAATAATGTGGAACCCTTTGTCTCAAAACTAGTCATCTCTATTTTCAATTAAGAGCAAGGAAGGAACTAGCGCGCAATGAACTATTTTTAATGTCTATTTTCAATTAATATGACTATTATACATAGACAAAACACAAGTGCAGTACAAAGTGACATTATATGGTGTACCAGTCAAAGACATCCCATAATACCCATATAATATTAAAAGTCATCCCATGGTGTCAATGCATAAAATTCACCATTTATATGCATATATATTGCCATAAGATACAAAGTTGGGTTTTCACACCAAAAGAAAAATTAATGTTGGCCATGGTCATTTTAAAGATAAATAAGCATGAAACAATCCCTGGCCAAATTAGCTAGTAAGAAACGTCATCCATCAACCCGTGACAGGGATTCTAAATGACGCACAGGAAAAAAATTGCTTTCCGAAACTCAACAAAATAATAAGATCACAACTGCGTTACTGATCTTACCAAAGGAGCAGGTTCATCTAAATCCTCCCATGACTCGGTAATATCATTTTCATCCAAATCTTCATCATCCCATTTATGTACTGGTTGGTCCTTAGAAAGGAGAGTTGGGGCTTTCTCATCTTCTGAAGCATCAAAAAAGAATGCTAGCTTTGTAAACAAAAAAACCACTTACAAAGAAAACAAATTGTTATTCAAAGGTTTAAGCAAGCAAGCAAGCTTTAGGTGGCAAATATGAAACATAATAATTAGTAAAAGAATATTAAAAGATCACTGTTCTACAAATCCCCGCCTAGTGCCATTAATCCCTAGGCATTTGAAAATTAAGAAATGGCGCCTATACCTGCTTAGGCACCCTCCTAGGCCGCCTGGGCACCCGCCTAGGTCGCAACTCTTATTTAGACAAAAGATAGGTAACTTTCATTTTGCATTTTATTATTTTTAATAAATTGTAAGAAACTTGTTGAATACTTAGATTAACACCCCTTATATAATCTATTTTGCAGTTTATGTATCCCAATTAAATTATATACTTTTTAATTATAACCAGACACTTATTTATACAATTCTGCCTAGTCCGCATAGGCCCGCCTATCTGCCTGGGCACTAGTCCCCAGCCCGCCGCCCGACTAGCGTCTTTCAGAACTTTGAAAAGTATTACAAAAATTGCAAGCATATCACCGCTCCTCAACAATAAAACAGTAATTATCTCCATCCTAAATCTTAAACTACCATTAGCAAGCAAAATTTGCACAAAATTTCACGGGCATAATTAAGACAGAATTAAACCAAGCACTATTACCCCAGTCCTCCATCTAATTTGGCGATTCTTTAATCAAATTACCGATTTTTCGACGAAATAAAGTATTAATCCTGCATATCAACACATGTAACCATCCAGCATCAGACATTAGAAAAAAATTGGCAAATTAAGAACAGGGTACTGCTAGAGCATTCGAACCCAAAAAATAAATTTAAAAAAACAATTGACCAGAAACAGTTTTCGGGATTTTGCAGAAACTGTCAATATTTTTAGGGTTTGGAAGAGAAAATCCAGAACAAAATTTGGGTTTCGATAAATCGATCTGGAAAAGGGGGAATTACCTTAGAAATGGAAGAAGCGCAATTGATCGATCAGGTGCTGAGAAGCGTCTACGGCTCTTTCTCGGAAACCCTAATTCCCTCTCTATATTCTCAGTATTCTTCCTTCTCGGCTGACTGTCAATGTGCCAAACTCGACTACGACTAAGCAAAGGCCCGGTTTTTTACCTTTATATTCTTCACAAATTCTCTTGTGCGGACCGCGGACCAACGGTGCTGCGTTGTTTTAGCCGTTTGATTTGATCTGGACGGCTCCCAACTAGGGCTGGGCATTTTGAAAAACAAAAAACCGATTGAACCGCTCGAACTGTTCGAACCGCACCAGCAGCTTGGTTAGTTTTGTTTTGTTTTTTTTTTTTAATTTTCGATGGTTAAATTGAATGGCATTGATCTTATTCGGTTTGACAATAAGTTCCCAAAATTCTTACGATGCGATTAACCGAACTGACCCGCATATACAAACAACAACAAAGCATTTTCCCACTAAGTGGGGTCGGCTATATGAATCCTAGAACGCCATTGCGCGCGGTTTTGTGTCATATTCTCCGTTAGATCTAAGTACTCTAAGTCTTTTCTTAGGGTCTCTTCCAAAGTTTTCCTAGGTCTACCTCTACCCCTTCGGCCCTGAACCTCTATCCCGTAGTCACATCTTCGAATCGGAGCATCTGTAGGCCTTCTTTGTACATGTCCAAACCCATTTTGTGTACGTGTTGATGCTTCACCGCCCAACATTCTGTGCCTTATAGCATCGCCGACCTTATTGCCGTCCTATAAAATTTTCCCTTGAGCTTTAGTGGCCTACGACGGTCACACAATACGCCGGAAGCACTCTTCCACTTCATCCATCCAGCTTGTATTCTATGGTTGAGATCTCCATCTAATTCTCCGTTCTTTTGCAAGATAGATCCTAGGTAGTGAAAACGGTCGCTCTTTGGTATTTCCTGATCTCTGATCCTCACCCCTAACTCATTTTGGCCTCCATTTGCAATGAACTTGCACTCCATATATTCTATCTTTGATCGGCTTAGGCGAAAACCTTTAGATTCCAACACTTCTCTCCAAAAGTTAAGCTTCGCATTTACCCCTCATGAGTTTCATCTATCAACACTATATCGTGTGCGAAAAGCATACACCAAGGGATATCATCTTGAATATGTCCTGTTAACTCATCCATTACTAACGCAAAAAGGTAAGGACTTAAGGATTGTTGATGCACAAAATCAGTGAGGACTTTGGTACAACAGAAAGTATTAAGTTTGTGATATTCGCTAGATTGCTTTGGTCATTAGTGTGGATAAGTATGTAAATGGATAGAGACAGGAAAGCAAATACAAGATGTACGTGGTTCACCCAGATTGGCTACGTCCACAGAGTAGAGGAGTTCTTATTAATTGTGAAGGGTTTACGCAAGTACATAGGTTCAAGCTCTCCTTTAGTGAGTACAAGTGAATGATTTAGTACAAATGACATAGGTGCAAGCTCTCGTCTTCACTTGCCTTAACTGTCTCATAGGTAGATGTGGCATCTTCTCTGGAAGTACGCTTCCTCCATCTAGGGGTGGTATCTTTAACTGGTGGAGATGCACAGGTAATGTATCAATTTCACTTGAAGCTTACTTGTAGTTTCAGGCTTGGTCAAGCGCGATACAAACCATGTAGTAGGAGTCCCCCAAGTCGCCGAGCTAGGGGATCTGCTGAAAGAGGTGATAGACAAGGTAAGCAATCAGAGCTCTAAGCAATCAGTCCCAGATCAGAAGTTTGATTTCGAGTTCCGGCTGATTGTTCTTATTCTCCCTATCTTGCAGGCAGCATGAAGGATAAAGAGAAGAAAAGGAGAATAGATGATATGAGATACTTTTGCTTTTGAAGAAGTAACTTTCCACAGGCTTATTCTTGAACTGGGCTGGAGGATTTTCTGGTGTCCTCCAGAGTATAAGGCCGACTGAAGAATTTGAGGGTCAAAACACGTCCATCAAATCTAGAGTACGTTCGACCCTGCTGATATGGGATACTTTTGCTGTTGACAAAGTAGTGGATGTATCGGCACATGTTCTATTACGCTTATCTCCACATGCTTCCTTGTATCCTTCTCACTTTCCCTATCTATTCCTCAGGCAGATGTGGTATCTTCTCTGGAAGCATAAGATGTTGAAGATGGGTACTCGAGAGCAATGCCAGGTAAGTAATCAGGTAAGAGGTTCTGGGCAGTCAGTTCCTGACTGGAAGCTTGATTCCAAGTGCTGACTGATTGCTCTCTTTCTCCTTGTCTTGCAGGTAAGAACAAGGCCAAAGGAAAAGACAGGGAAAAAGCATGATATGGGATACTCTTGCTTTTAACCCTGATGATATGAGATATTCTTGCTCTGGTGTAGCTTGTTTGCAGAGGTATTATCGGGGGTAAAGAAAGCTGAGTATTTCGAGAGGCTTCGTTGGGAGTGCCCTCTCAGATTTGCAGGTCTACCTGTCTGTTGAGGATGGATGTCGACATATATAGGAGTTTCCCTAACAACAAGTAGTAATGATATTCCTTTACCCTGCTTGGTCATAGCACGGTAGTGGGAGCTGCCAGCTTCACGTGTGTCAGAGCACTTTGAAAAAGTGGTATGTGGTATCTGGAAAGTTGATGTTGCGTGTGAAGATTACAGACAAGCTTTATCCAAAGAGATCTGGCTCTCAAAGTTGAGAAAGCGGTGCCTCTTCGATTTTCGTACAAGCAATCCTGTCGGGGATCTGGCTCTCGAGATTCGGAAAATGGTGCCTCTTCGATTTTTGAGAGAGCAATCCTGCTGGGAGTCTAGCTCTCGAGATTCGGAGAGCGGTGTCTCTTCGATTTTTGAGAAAGTAATCATGTTGGGAGTCTGGCTTCCGAGATTCGGAGGACGGTGCCTCTTCGATTTTGGAGGAAGCAATCTTGTTGGGAGTGTTTTCTCAAATGTAAGTAAAGGTTGGGCATGTTTGCTAGTCTACCTTGCCACAGAGCACAGAGGTTGACACACAAGGACTTTCCAATTATCCAGCAGCGGTGTTGTTCCTTTACCCTTGTAGGTAATAATATGGTAGCTAGACCTTCAAAATTTATGTGTATAAACTTTGTTAGTGCTGTTTCTTTGATATTCTTTTACCCTTCTTGGTCATAGCGATGTAGTGGGAGCTGCAAGCTTCATGTGTCTAAACTTTGTCAAAGATCTTTGGCAAAGTTATCTGTGGTACCCATGAGCTGATGGTGCGTGTGGAAAGTGGATGATTGAACAGTAAGATTCATGTGCTTTCTACTTCACCAGAAATCTTCAACAGAATGCCTGTAATTTCAGCAAAGCTGAGTGTGCATGTGACAGGTGCTGACAAGGCTGAAAAAAGCAAGTGCCTCTTCGATTTCTGAGATCGGCCCTCGTGGTCTCTGAGCATCCCAGCTTTTGAGAAAGCAAGCGCCTCTCCGATTTCTGAGATCGGCCTTCGTGGTCTTTGAGCAGCCCAGCTTTTGAGAAAGTAAACGCCTCTTCGATTTCTGAGATCGTCCCTCGTGGTCTCTGAGCAGCCTAGCTTTTGAGAAAGCAAACGCCTCTTCGATTTCTGAGCAGGCGCCTCTTCGATTTCTGAAGCTCCGTCGAGTGCAGATTTTTATAGAGGCTGGCATTAAGTTCCAAAGCACACTTGAATCTTCTTCAGTAGAAGCTCCCTTCTTGCACTTCTAAGATCTTGATTTGTCCGACCTCTTCTCTCTTCAACACCTTTGAAAATGTTTGGCCCATCCGACCGTCGTTTTGACTTGAACCTCGTTGAAGAGGCAGCCATGCCTTCTCCAGACAACATATGGTTGATGCGTAAAATAAGTTAACACACAAAATTAAACCCTCTTTTTGACAATTGTAGTATAGATGTAAGTAGGGTATCGTTCTAGGCCGGGGATTAGGAGGGATTGCTAATCTATTCTAAATTAACTTAAAAATATTAAACAAGACTCAAGGACACAAAATTAGGCTAAAAACTCTAATAACTCGAAACACACTTAAAATGACTCAAAATAATGAAAACAATTAAATTAAACACTAGGAACTGAAATGGACGGAAATTAAATTAAAAGACTAACAATAAAGAAAACTAAATAAATAATATAATTTAATAATGGATGGGTGTTTGGTTTTGATGAAAAGTAAATTAAACTTAATTAAATTACAGAATTGACAAAAACATGAAATTAAAGTAAAATGATATAAATGACAGACTAGCTAGAGGGTTCTTCTTCACACATGTTATACTTGCATACAAAATGATTTCCAGTTGTTCTTTTAATAAATTGTGAATCTCAATACTCCAGATTAACCGTGAACAGCACTTTTTTAATCTTCAAGTTTTCCTTAAGTTATTGAATTGGACGGAAAAACGCATACAACAATTCAAAACATTCTTCAAAAGTCCCCTACGTGAAAAAGCACAATAGCGATACAATCAAAGATCATTAAACTTTGTGAAAACTATAAGTATTGACGAGACATTCGTAACTATGAAAAGCATGATACTCTTGCCAAGAATTTACTTAACGTGATTGTGACTAGCAACCTTTACTACTTGTGAAAATAAGTTCATAACGATTAGGTGAAATTCACTTATATTCTAGCATCAAATTCATGCATGTAAATTAAGCGTGCACTCTTAACCAACATACACAAATCAGTTTTTATACGAACGGATAAGTAAATTGAAATCACAACTTATGAAATCACAACCGAAGGTAATCAATTCATATTACAAATATATTCATGGCTTTGAATTAACCTCTAGCCAAAATAAATTTAGCTACACATTATTCTAAAATTAAACCAAAAATTAATCATAAGTTGGAAAGATTTAACCGAGAGAATAAGATCTGCTGCGTTTCTGTGCTTCTGCCCTCACTCCCTGCTCTCTCCGTCTGACCTCCTGCACAAAGCAGCCTTTCTCTTTTTATTTTCTTCTTTCCGTCTCTCCTCCTTTCCCCCTTCGGTTCTGCTGCCCCGTCCTCCCTGTCCTTCTTCTGTTCTGCCTTTTTTTATTTTTCCGCCTGACATCCTCTCTGCGTCAGTCCTCTTCTCTGTCCTCTCTCTCACGCTGCCAAGGCAGCGTTTTTCTTCTTCTCCTGATCTCTTCCCTGTCCCGTGATATCTTGTCAAGCTGCCCAAAGGGC